AAATACAACTAAATAGAAAAGAACATAAACAAGAAAATCTAAATAATATAAACATAAAAATAATCAAATAAGAATAATATAATAATATATAGATAAACAGATGATATAAATAATATAAAAAGAAATAAATAACATAACAATAAAAGAATAATAAAAGAATACAAATAATTAAATATTATTCATCAAATCAATTATTTCAATAATATTTCATACAAAATGAATACAAATGAATATCAAATATAAACATAAATATTTACAGATTGTGTATTTATCATATTTTTTATTTTTTTATCTTTTTTATGAGCAAAATATAATAAGTGAAATATTCTATGGATGCAAATTATTTTGCTTCTTTTTTCTTTTTTTTTGTAAATTATTTAGATGCATTTTTTCGTGTTCAATTATTAACATCATTAAATTACATTGATGCTATTATTATTTCATTATGTTATATTTTCATTCTTTTATTATTTCTGGGATTATTTCCATTCCTATTTTTATTTGAACATAAAATATTTTTAAGATTATAATTCCTTTTTTTTCTTTTTCTACATCCATTTATTCATTGTTTTGTGTTTGATAAAACAATTTAATAAATGTGTATTGTTACAAATATATAAGTAAAATCTGATCATTATAAATATTATAGTCATAAATATTAAAGATATTACATAGATTTTGTTATTATAAACGAAATAAAAGTATACTTTTAATACACCTTTTAATATTATTATATTTATATTTTTCTACTTTATTTTTTATTAAAAAAGAAATGATTATATTTATTTTTTATTTCTTCTTATTATGTTTATTTGTATGTCTTTTTGATGTTATGTCTTATAAATTATTTGTTAATAATTTACAATTTCATTTATTCTATTTAAGGAATGCAAATTAAATCACTTTATTATTTATGTTGTTTTAATTGTTGAAAATATGAGATATTGATACTTCATTTATCTTCATTAATAGTGCTTGTTATAGATTTAATTCAAGCATACTTTCATATATTTCTAATTGTTCATTATAACAATATCAAAACATTTTTAAATTGATATTTGAATTCATACATGAATATCATTCAATTCTATTGTTTTCATTATATTTTTCATTTGACTATTATTGATTCGTTTTTATTCTTTTTTATGATTGATTAAAATGAAATGTACCAGATAATTTGGTGATTGTATCAATTAAATTATACATCATTATTTCAATGATATTCAAATGTAATTTGATATATTTAATGATTGTAACGATTTACATTTTGAACTAATTGATGAGATTATATTTCATTAATTAAATTAATATTATTCATTCTGTTTTAATTTTCAGTTGATTTAATAACATTAATTTAAATTATTGAACAAGATTGATATTTGTGATACAATAATAGAGAATGATATTGTGATAATAGAAATAATAAAGAATGAAATATCAACACGTTATTCAAAGTTAAACATTGTTATTACAGTTTTTGGTTATTACCATACCAACAATTAATTCACTTAGTAATACAAATGTTATTTGCCAATATTTCTTTTGATGTTATTTCTAAAACCATTTATTATGTACTAATTCAATAAGTATATATTGTTTTATCGATTTGTTTTCATTTTCATTAAATAATATTTTATCATTATTACCATTAATTTGGATTGAGCATAATTGAAAATAAAAAGCATTATAATTAGTCCCAGTTTCGTTATAAATATCATTGATTTTCTATCCTCTGATTTTAAATTTAATTTTATAAATCAAGAACATTATAAATTTTAACCAATCCATTTATTAATATTATCCACTAAATTTCATATTTAACAAATCAATATAAATGATAATAACACGATTCAATTTCTTCTTACTTCAATCTCTATTTTACATCACCATATTGTACTGATGATATTAAAAATGAAGACGATGAACCAGAACAAAAGGAATGTACATTAAAACAAATGTTAAATTCCATAAAATGATAAAATTTCTATTATAATTTAAAACAAATATAAATAACATTCTCAATATTTGTGTTATTTGATTGTTAATATGAAAATAGACATTGATAAAAAAAAAATAAACATCACTAGAATAATAAAGAAGGTTATCAATCCGTCATTCATTAACGTTTCAAGATAATAAACGTAACTACAAAATAGCAATGAGTACGATATTTACAAGTGAAGAGAGAAAACAAAATGGTTTATCTCTACTAGAAAAATATAATGGAATTGATGATGAATGTTTTGAAGGAAGTAATGATCTTGTTGATATTAATATACCAACAACTATTGAGTGGATAGGAGAGAATTGTTTTAAAGAATGTACAAAATTAACATCAGTTACTATTCCAACAACAGTTACTGAAATAGGAAATAGATGCTTTAAAGGTTGTTCATCATTAGTAACAATTAACATACCATCATCGATTAATAAAATAAGGTATGAATGTTTTAGTGAATGTACATCGCTTGTTTATATTAAATTCCCAACATCAATTACATCAATAGGAAATGAATGTTTTAAGGATTGTTACAATCTAAAGAAAATTAATATACCTACTTCAATTAAAGAACTTGGAATTAATTGTTTTAATGGATGTTCATCATTAAGAAGTATTGAAATACCAACATCTATTAGCATATTACCAATTAATTGTTTTAATGGATGTAAGTCATTAAGGAACATTGAAATACCAATATCAATTAGTGTAATACCTATCAACTGTTTTTGTGGATGTACATCTTTAACATCAATCACTTTACCATCATCAATTAATAAAATAGAAGAAACTAGTTTTGGAAATTGTTCATCATTAATGTCAATTAACATACCATCAAAAATTATTGAATTAGAATCTACTTGTTTTAATGGCTGTAATTCATTAACATCAATTAATATATCTACATCAGTAAATCAAATAGAGAGTTGGTGTTGGTTTAATGGATGTATGTCATTAACAGCAATCACATTAACAACAAGAGTCAAGAGAATAGAAGAATATTATCAAAAATATAAATCATTAAAATCAATAAGCATCCCTACATCAATCAATGAATTAGGATATGGGTATTTTAAAGGATGTACATCATTAACAAGAATTGATATTCCAACCACAGTTAATATAATAGAAACAGGTTGTTTTAAAGGTTGTTTGTCATTAGGTTCAATCAATATTCCATCATCAATCATTAAATTAAAAGAATGGTGTTTTGAAGAGTGTACGTCATTAACAAGAATTGATATTCCAACCACAGTTAATGTAATAGGATGTAGTTGTTTTAAAGGTTGTTTGTCATTAGGTTCAATCAATATTCCATCATCAATCATTAAATTAAAAGAATGGTGTTTTGAAGAGTGTACGTCATTAACAAGTATTAATATACCATCGACAGTTAATGAAATAGAAATAGGTTGTTTTAAAAATTGCTTGTCATTAAAATCAATCAATATTCCATCATCCGTTAGTCAAATAGGAGACTGGTGTTTTGAAGAGTGTTCATCATTGACGTCAATTACTATACCTACTTCAGTCAGCAAACTAGGACTTGGCTGTTTTAAAAATTGTTTGTCATTAAGAACAATCACAATACCATCATCAATTAGTGAAATAGGAGAATGGTGTTTTGAAGGTTGTACGTCATTGACAAGTATTAACATACCAACAGCCGTTCATGAATTGGTAAAAGAGTGTTTTAAAAATTGTTCGTCATTAACAGAAATTGATATACCAACATCAGTCACATCCATTGGGGAAAGATGTTTTTTGGGATGTCCAGAAGAGTTAAAGAAGAACAAAGTGATTAAAAAGTTATGTTATGGTAGTTGTGTTATAGTCTAAGTGAACTGATTAATTCAACTTGACAAAGATAATTTTTCGTAATAAAAAAGAAGAAATAAATGAAATGATAATTGAAAGAGGTAAAAGAAAAAAGAAATAATAAAAAAGCAATGAACTGGTTAATCTGATAATTAAAAACGAATAAATTAAATTTGGATATATCTTTAAGTGAGATTACATCTAACTCTTTGTTTTCATGAAACCTTATTCATGAAGTATTTCCATTTCTTTTTTTTTACAATGCTTCATCAAGTTTCTATGAGTATTTTATGTTTATAGTCATTCTATCTCTTTCATTTATTCACCAAAAACTTTATGACTCAGTGCTCTTTTAGGGTTTTTTCTTATTATTTATTAAATACTCAAAACATTGTTGTTATTGAAATTATACTGGATTATTTTATAATATCATCTTCTTTATTTTATTTCTTAATTCTTTCTTAGTTTTTAATATCTTATTGTAGTGTTTGTTAGTTTCTTCTTTTTCATGTGCTTTTTTTATTTCATTTATACATATTATTCTTGTAGCTTTACAACTTTTATTATTAACATTCATTTCTTCTATCATTTCTATTTCATCTACTCTCTTTGTATTAATCTCTCTATTTAATATCTTCTTTCTTATTTATCGTTCTAAATTATTATTCATCACATCTCGTTTTAATTCTTTCATTTCTTATACTTATTATTATCTTATTTACCCACTTATCGTGTATTATTTGATTTCTTTTATCAATACACCTATTTTCTTTCCACATCTTTGTAACATTAAATATGTAATTATACTTGAATGATTTACTTATTATCTTGAGTGTTCATTTATTATTACTAAGCTTATTTAAATGTCTCAATCAAATTCTTTTAAATTGACTTCTATTGCATTGGTTATTTACTCTGAATTTCAAATGTTATATATTTTATTCTTCTTTGTTTTCTCTTTCTTTCAATTTATTTACATCTACACATCCTGTCTCCAATTCCTTTCTTTTTATAGTATTATTTAAACACGGTAGTGTGATTATAATAGTTTTGATAAGAGTGTTTAGCAGTTCTTTTATTAAACATGACTTATTTGACGGTGATTATGAATATGATTTTCTGATTTAACTCAATCCTTTGTAATTATTTCTTCTTTAATAATATTTAACATCTTTCAATCTCTGTTTATTCTTCTTAAACTCTTTTTTATTTTAACTGTTGTTTGAGAATGTGTTGTTTAATTTAAATCAGTTTTTTGTTCTTATTTCAAATAACACATAAATGGTGTTTAATAAAAATCATTTCATTTCAATTACTATTATTCGTTGTGGTGTGAAACATTCTTTTCCACAAAGTGCATTTGATATTCCTTCATATTCAAATGAACATTGTCTACAACATGATTTTGTTTTATA